AGATAAATATTTTTTATATTTTAATTTTATTGTTATTGAGTATTTATTAATTTTAATTATTGAGATAAATAGCAATTAATTTGACACTTTAAATAATTATTAAATATAATAAAATTAATTTATAATTAAAATTAATTTTCAATTAATTAATATAAAAATTATTTCAAACACCTATTAATTTATTATAAACATATATCCAACTTTCATATCAATTAAAAATTTTCAACCTAGTAAACATGATAGAATAATTCACTAAATCTTCTTAACTTTTTCATCTCAGCATCTATAACTTTTTTTTTTTTTTACTAACCTTTCATTTTTGAAAATTACATTGAATCTCAATTAATTCATACTCTGATCAACAAATGATTGGTTATATCTATTACTATTATATATCTTCTTTAACTCAAATTAATCTCCTCTATTGAATACCCATATTAAAAGGTTTTAAGTCAAAATATAAAAAATATAATGCATCTGCATATTTTTTTGGTATCTTTCCATTGACCTATATTTTATTTTTCACTAACTTTTCTTAGGACTCTATCTTTTAACTTAATCTTACATATGTTATCAATATATTTATTTATTTACTTATATTTATCCTCACTTTTTCTTCTATACTAATAATTTATTTGATTATTATTCTTTAAATTTTTTTAATCTATACCTTGAATAGTGTAATTATTATACCTTTTAATCATTAAATTACGTAAAAAAAAATAAAGATTGATTTTAATTTTACCAACTAACCAATTGAAATAATACACATGTCGTTAGTGCTAACATTAATATCAATTTTTTAAATTTTTTTATAAGATTTAATGGTTAAAATATGCAATAAATACACTTTTAACATGTATTTTAAGGGCATATATTATAAAAAAATCTTATTCTTTCTCCCCTTAAAAGTTGATTAAGTCATTATTAAGTTAATACACATTGGTTCTACATATTATAAGTTGTAATTATTCATAATTCTTGATATTTTAATAATCTTTATTAATTAATATGTTTATCCAAAACTATTTATAACTTAATCATTATTTTTTTTACTCTCATAATAATTGAATAAATAAGAATTAATTTGTGAACTACTATTTTAATTATATTATAATTTGTTTGAAATATAATTGAGAACAATCAGTAGAGAAGTTATTGAG